GTTGGTAACATGCGACTGGTATTACATTACTTGAATAAACTAAAGTGCAATCGTTATTTAGAAACATACAAGTCTAAAGGTCTGTTGTATTTTGCTTGTTTGAGCGGTCACTTGGAAATGGTTCGTATTTTAATGGAAAAGTATGAGTTGAAACCAGTTGAAGGAGACATTGATGCAGCCCAGTCAATCAAAGGAGGAGAGTCTATAGTGAAATTGATGCTGAGACGGTTTTACTTTATAAAATTAGTACAAGAAATGATTAAAGAGGCAGAGAGAAGACAAATAATGCCTATAGCTACTAAACCTCATCCTTCATTTTTATCTTCTTAAATCTTAAACTATGACACTATGTAAAATAGATTGCTTTCTTGTAATTGTCATTGTCGTACTTCATTCCATTTGTTTTGTTTTTTTGGAATCGTTTCAATTCTTTTGTACGTATTACCAATTCACCACATCACACTCATTCTCTACTACACCTTCACTTCTACACAAACACATTCGATCATTTCCTTTCTTCATTATATTAACACTATGGCATCAAATCTCTCTCTCGTTAACTTTAATACCTTCAAGAATAATGGAGACTTCTTGTTAGGTAGTTTTTTCATTTTTGCAGCAGGGCAATTATTGCTATTTTTGATGATGCTTTTTTTAGAGTAAAGTAATGCTCAGTATTTATTTATTATTTCTATTGGTAGTTGTTATACAATATGCAGCATTATGATGATTTCCTCTGGTTTATTATTCTTATTTTTGTTATTATAAATCATTCATTGTTGTATTGTATATTATGTTGTATTGTTTATGAGCATTATGAGCATTAATAGTTTGTGTACTTGTTTCTGCTCCACTTTTTATTGAAATGAGATTTTTTTTACATGCCATAGCTTTTATACATTAACTTTTATTGAATGTGTTTATATGCATTGTTATTACTTATCATTAGTATTGAATTTTTTTTAATTGACTATTATAATTATTGTGTCTATTATATTATTGCTAATACTAATAGTAGCTTGTGTATCTAATATATTTGCAGCTTTATATAATTTGTTATGCTGTTAATAATTTTTAATGTTTCTTTAAAAATAATAATTAAACATGATTTTAAGAAAATTGATCCATTCAACATCAGCTTATTACAATTTACACTGATACAGTAGTTGAATGACACTGTTAATAGTACATACTGATAATATTATTTTTGATAATTGTGAATGTGCCCATTGTGCACTTCAAAGTTTTAGCTGATTCCGACTTCAAATTTTCTAGTTATGGCCATTTTAAAGAAATTGGCCAATTTTATAAAAAAAGCAAAATAGTTGTTTCTAAATAATTGCTCGAAAATCACTACAAAATTAATTTTTATTACATTTTCTGACGCATATTAATTTTTTGTGCTATGTAGAAAGTTTCAGATGATTCCAATTAGTATTAAATTTGAAAAGTTATGGACATCAGCCAATTTTTGAAAATTGTCCTTAGCTATGTAGAAAGTTTCAGGTGATTCCGACAAAAATGTTTGAGTTACAGCAATTTTTTGAAAAAATTGAAGTTAAAAATTAAAATCACAAAATAAAAGATTAAATAAAGTAGTAGACTAATAACATGCTGTTACTCAGAAGAAAGACAATATAATATTATTATTAATAATTATCACAGGCTCTGTCTGATACTTCTTTAATGAGGTATCAACTCATGACTGCAATGTATAGAGGAGCCAGTAGATCACCAGCTATTATCAGGTAATGAAGTAACACTGTGATTAATGTGACCTTTACTCTGTATAGAGGAGAGAGAGAGGGGGAGGGTAATGGATCAATCATGAGTCAATAAGTACATGAACGTTATACTAACGATGATACATATACATGTACATTAGCTGTGTTTAATGGCGGCCATTTTGACGGAATATACATGTACTTATAAGGGAAGGCAAACAGTCTCTGAATTAAATCTAATCTAAACACAAAACACATTAACCTTTCAAGGGAAGTAGGGGGCGTGACCAGTTAGTTCATTCACTAGTAATGGAGGATCACTCATCTCATGCACACGTACTATCTTATCAGTCCCCCCTGTAACATAGAATTTACCCCCTGGGGTAGGGGCCCGGTAATATTGATAGTAGGGGGTCTGGGGCTTACCAGGACTAAAAGCTGAACAGAGAGTTTGATCACTGACCCTGTTCTTCTCCATAAATTTAACTGGTTTATCACTAAAAATAATAATAATAATAATAATAATAATAATAATAATAATAATTTTCTCCCTCCCTCCCTTCCTCTCTCTAACTGAAATTTGAGTGTTGTTGGGTCCCATTTCCAAAACAAGAGGCAGCCATCTTTAGCAGTAGTAGCAATATACCTGAGGAGAGAGAGAGGGAGAGAGAGAGAGAGAGAGAGAGAGAGAGAGAGAGAGAGAGAGAGAGAGAGAGAGAGAGAGAGAGATTAAATAAAAGTGTGACATTAAATTTAAGAGAGGACACTACACCCAACTCTTGTCGATAGTCAGACGTCAGAGTGTTGGCCACAGTCGGTTGATGCTCCTAGTCTGCCTACCCGCCTAGGCTTCTTTCCTGGCTATCTACCTAGCATCCCGCCATTGACCCTCTTTTCACGACTCAGAGACACCAATTGTCGTCATACCATGTGACAATATAAACAAACTTTTA